TTTAACGTATTAAAATCGATACAAAAAAAAAAGTTTTAACAATAAAATAAAAAATTTCATTTTTTTTTTTTTTTTTTTCGCGAATGTAAATTTGAATAATAAACTCCGACCATCATTATTATTATTATTATTATTATTACAAGTATCATTAAAATAATAAGATTCATTTGAAAAAAAAAAAAAAAAAAAATTTTCTTTCAAATTATTGTTTTTAAAAGAATAATTATGTTTAATTTAGGTTGTGGTGGGAGTCCAGTAAATCGGATTATGTGGAAATTCAAATTGCGCAATGTCAATTTGGGGTTAATTTATAACTATCCATGCAAAAAAAAAAAAAAAACGCGCGCTCGTCGAATTAAAATTAAAAGAACTTTAAAAAAAAAAAAAAAAAATTTATAAAAACTTTAAAAACACACCACAAACCAAAAAAAATAAATAAATTTAAGTAAGATAAAAAAAATAAATAAATAAACTAACAAACAAACAAACAAACAGACAAACGTGCTCGTAAAAAAATAGTAGAAAAAAAAATTTTTTTTCGCGCAAAAGTGAAAAATGGCAAAAAAAAAAAAAAAAAAATATTAACAAGACGTTTTTAATTGAGTGATGATTTTAATTATTATTATTATTTTTTGTTTTGTTTTTTAAACTTTTTTCGAAACGATTTTTTCGCATTTCCGCCCGCTTTCCACCTTTTTTTTTTTTTTTTTTTTTTTGTTTCTCCCCGAGATCTCCTCGTTTCCCCCCCCCCCCGCTCGCCCGCCCGCCCGACCGAATACGTTTTGACATAACCGTGTGTTGTTATTACCCTCTGCAGGTCGAGCTGCGCAAAACCTGTGACCTAATGAAAAAAAACCAACTTGTAAGAACTAATAAGGCTCGTGAAGTGAATTTTCGAAACAAACGACAACGTCGTTCCGACATGATGCAACGACACAGCGGAGCCAACAACAACCGTAAATGCGCCAAAACTTCATTGTGTTGATTGAGAGAGACAGAGAGAGAGAGAGAGAGAGAGAAAGAGAGAGATCGAAAAAAAAAAAAACGATGGGAAAATCATTGGACGACATCATACACAAACAAACAAAAAAACAAAAAACCGCCTGCATATCAAAACAAAACAAAAACAAAACTTTTCTTTTTTTTTCACTCATCGTTTGAAACAAATTATTAATATATAGTTAAAGAATAATAATAATAATAATAATAATAATAATAATAATTTCAATAAAATGTATACCATTAATACAAATAATATTAAAATTAAATTTATATAAATATCATGTAAATATTACTATTGTAAATGTTTTAATAATTACTATTGTTATTAGTATTATTATTATTACTATTGTTTTTTTTTTTTTTTTTGTAACAAATTAATTTACCAAATTTAAAAAATTTCGAAATTTCCCTAACTTTCCCATTTCAAATTTTAAAATTTTGCAATTTATGGAAAAGCTGTGCTTACCCGTGAGTAGAGTGGAAACGAAATTTCATCATCCACCGTCGAAATTTTCACGGCGTTTTTCCATACTGCTGCTGCTGCTCCTCTCTGAAAAACCAACAAATAATAATAGTAATAATAGTAATAATAGTGATAATGATAATGATAATGATAATAATAAAACATTAATAATTAAGAGCGGTGTAAGCGGTTTATTAAAAATAGAATAAAATTGTAGATTTGTGAATAAAATAAATAATTATTTATAAGATTATTATTATTATTATTAACAGAAATAATGTATAAAATAATAAATAATGTGTATAAAAAAAAAATAATAATAAATTTGTAAAAAAAAAAAAAAGAAAAGAAAAAAGAAAAAAAAATTATAATTATTATTATTATTACGGTTTGAGCTTTAGAAAGTCCGTTGCCTAATTTCGATTTTTATGTATCGTGTGAATTTTTTTTTTTTTTTCTAATATGCAACAAAACAATAAAATAATAATAATAATAATAATAATAATAATAATTTAAGTTTATGTATATACACACACGTATACCACACGTACATGTAATAAAGCTCAAAGACAAATAAAAAAAATTTTTTTTTCTTTTTTCTTTTTTTTAAAAAAAATGTATTTAATAATTATATTCAAATATTTTTTGATAGTTTTTAGTTATAAGCAGAAGAAAAAAAAAAAAAAAAGGAAAAAAAGGGGGATGAAAAAAAAAAAAACAAAAACAAAACAAAATCTATACGAAGTTTAAAAAAAAAATAAATAAATAAATAAATAAATAAATAATAAGCACGTGTCAAAATTTTAAAAACAATCACGTGTGTTTAAATTAACCCTCGATTGTTTTTATTTGTTTGTTTTGACCGCTAATTAACGAATTTTTCGAAAGAAAAAAAAAAAAAAAAAAGGTTACATAAATCAATAATGTATGTTTTAATAATAATAATGATAATAATAATATTTAATAATCATAATAATAATAATATTAATAATAATTTTAGATGTGTAAGTTTTACGATGTACTCGTCGGTCATCTTATGTGATAATCATAATCATAATAGCCGATTTAGGCTAGTTTTTTTTTTCTTTTTTTTTTTTTTTTTTTTCTTGTCTTTTTAAGTAGGAACTTTTCTCTACCCCTTTTTCTACCCACTCCCTCCCTACCTTTCTCATTCCCTCTCATCCTAAACTTATTCGATAATTCTACCTTTAGATCCGTACTATATATATATATTTTTTTCCCTTCATTTTTCTAGTTAGAATTTTTTTTTTAATATGCTTTTGCTACATAATTAATTTATAGAGTTTTTTGTCGAAGCAAAAAAAAAAAAAAAAAAAAAAAAAACGACTTTTTAAAAATTTTAAATATAAAATATGTAAATCGAAATATTTAAACAATAAACGGGGGCGCAAGACGCATTCAAACTCCAAATTTTAATAATATTGAATATGTTTTCGAAGAGAAAATTACACATAATAATACTTTTCGAAAAAAATTTGGATGCAGTGCGAAAAGCTTTAAATAATTCGATGTTTAAAAAAAAAAAAAAAAAAAAAAAATTGTTAAAAAAAAAGGAGCCTTGAGTTTAGACATGACGGCACTCATGTCAGTTTTACTATTAAATATTATTATTATTATTATTATTATTATTATTATTATTAATCGAACCTTTAATAAAACGAATTTTTTTTTTTTTTTTTTTGTGCAAGGTTAAACTCGATTCGAGAATTTAATAGGTACTTTTGTTCGTACTCGAAAAAAATAAGGGGGGGGGGGAAGGAAAAACTATCGATTTCCCTTCTCTTCCCTTTTCAAACATAATGGGGAAAAAACCTAGTGATGATACATGTTGAAATTGTACTGCCAAATTACATATTAATGTTACCTCTAAATTATTTATTTTTTTATTCAAAAAAAAAAGTATGTTTTTGTCAAAATAATTTATTATTATTATTATTATTATTATTATTATTATTATTATTAATGAAGAATGCAAAAGATATGGTGTTTATATAATTTTTAAAAAAAAATGTTGCATTTGTTTCTTTTAAATTAATTGTTACTACTACTACTACTATTATTATTATTAATTGATTAATTTTTTTTTTTTTTTGTTCATTGCTTTTCAAGTGTGGACTGGAAAAATGTTTTCTCTGTTAGGTACTGAAAAACCAAGTGCCATTTTACAAAAAGAAGGAATTATTACTTTAATTATATTACCAAGCATTAAACTCAAGCTAAAGTAAAAAAAAATAATAATAATAATTGAAAATGACAAAAAAAACTATTTTATCGAATTCAAGCTTGAAAATTTTAATTTGTATATTTAAAAATTGTCCATTTAAAAACAAAAAAAAAAAAAAAAAAAAAAATATTTATTTTAAATTTTTAATTAATATTTAAAAAGAAATAATAATAATAATAATAATAATAATAATAATTAATTATCCTTGGTTAAGGGTGAAAATAATTGTTTTTAATTCTTCGTTTTTTTTTTTTATTCTCTCTTAAACGGCAGGGTCTGACATTTTGTATGGGAAAAGTATTATGTATGTGTAATAAGGGAAAATGATATAATAAAATTGAAAAATAATTTTTTCTGGATAAAATAATTAATAAAAAAAAACATGAGAGCAGCAACAGGAAATTTGTTTCTTTTTTTTTTTTTAACCTTGTTTTTTTTTTTTTAAACGACAGCAGGAAAGAAAAAAAAAAAATTCTCATCGAAATAATTTTGGCACTGGTTAACAAAAAAAAAAAAAAAAATGGAGGCTTAAAGTGCTTTTTGTGCTTTTTTTGAAGTTTATAAATAATTTTGATATTTATAATAAATTAGAATTTAATGAATTGTGGTATTAAAGTCAAAGAAAAAATGTGGATTTGAGAAATTGTGACGATTTAAGATGGCAATGAAATAAATTTTTATTATTAAAATTAATTTTTCCATATGTTAGTATTAATTAAATTTTATGAAAAAAAGAAAATGAATATTTAAAATTTTAAAAAGTTAATTACCCACAATGATATTTAAATATTTTTTTTCCCTTTAAACCACAAATAAAATTAATAATATTAATTAATAGGAGAAAATAAAAATAAATTTGAGAAAGAAATTTTAAATGGCATTTGTTTGACATTTATGAAATAGTTTTAAAATAATTAAAACTTACGTCATATAGTATAAGACCTTTTAAATTTCTATAAAAATTTCATTTAATAAATGTGTAGGATTCTAAATTTTTTTTTTTTTTTAACTTAAAAAAATTGAAATTACCGTTTCAAAAAAAACTTATCAAACTTTTTTTTTTTTTTTTTTTCACCATTTAACATCGGAATCATGTGTACCAACCAACAAATTTTGATAATGTCGAATGAAAAGTTAGGTGTTTAGTTACTTAAACAGTTCTTATTAAACACTTACATAATTTTCGAGTACATATTAATTCGAAATACGTAAAATATAAAACACGTGGACAACAGTTAATTTTAAGTAATATAGGTTAAATTGAAAGGAAGTCGACTGTGCAATACCAATATGTCTAAATTACCTGATTTATTAAAAATGACAAGGCCTTATATTATTGGAATGGTACATGTTAAAGCTCTACCAGGTAATTTGAACTTTTAATGTAATCGAAATAAAACTTACCTAATTTAGAAGAACAAAAACTAAAGACGATGATAAGTGTAGTGAAAGCACGTGGCTAACTTTCCCGGTGATTTCCGACATCTTGGAGTAATTACATAGGCGTTCAAGTATTCTTTGAATCGTAGCAAAAAGCTCATTCGCGCTCAAATTACCAAGTATTTGAATTTTTTAAATTACTGTTATACGAATAATTTAAATAAGAAATAAATTAAAAATTTTCAGGGACTCCAAATAATAAATTAAATATAAATTCTTTGATTGAAGAAGCTTGCAACGATGTTGAAATATATAAGTCGTGCAACGTAAATTCTATTTTAGTAGAAAATATGCACGATGTGCCATATGTGCAATCAAAATCAGTGGGTCCAGAAATAATTGCATCAATGACAAAAATTTGTTCTGAAATTAAAAATATTTTGCCTCGGCATATGACTTGTGGTGTTCAGGTACCTGCTAACAATTTGTAAGATCATATGTATTAAATTTAATTGAAGAATAAGAGCAAAAGACTATGGTTTGAATTTTAGATTTTAGCTGGAGCTAATAAGGAAGCACTTGCTGTTGCCCAGGCTGCAGAATTACAGTATATCAGAGCTGAAGGTTATGTTTTCAGTCACATCGCTGATGAAGGTTTAATGAATTCTTGTGCTGGTGAATTGCTTCGATATAGGAAATACATTGGAGCTGAGAATATATCTATATGGACTGACATTAAAAAAAAGCATTGGTACAATTTTGAATAACCAATAATTCTTTGAGTTAAATTTAAAGTGAAACATTTAAATGTTAATTAACTACTTTTTATTTCAGTTCTCATTCCATAACAAGCGATTTAACATTAGTGGAAACAGCTTTAGCTGCTGAATTTTTTTTATCCGATGGTATAGTTCTAACAGGAAAAACTACTGGGAATGCAATAAGAAAATCAGATTTTATAAAAATTCAAAATTCTTGCTCACTGCCTATCGTAATTGGGTCTGGAGTTACAGCTGAGAATGTTGCTGATTTTTTAAATGCTAATGCTATTATTGTGGGATCATATTTCAAAAAGGAAGGATTGTAAGCCTTAAAATAATAAGTTTAAATCACAGTTTAACTTTTGATATTTCTTAATTGTATTTTTTGTAGGTGGAGTAATGAAGTTGATAAAAATAGAGTGGAGAATTTTATGAATGTGTTAGTGGAAAAAAGTACAAAAATGCAATTAAAAAGTTAACATTTATTAAAATCTTGGTTCTACACAAACATTCAAACCATTAGTTGATAAAAGAACTATTTCACCGGCTAACATTGGCTTTTCCCTTGAATGTGGATCTGGCAAAATTTTAAATTGCCTCAAAAGAGTTGAGAGTGTGACTTTCATTACGAGCATTGCATATTTTTGCCCAATACAATTCCTTGGACCTGCACTGAAAGGTATGAAAGCATAAGGGGATCTTGATTGAATAGCTTCAGGAAGAAAATTATCAGGATTAAATTTTTCTGGATTTGGCCAAATATTCGGATTGTGATGCAATGAATAAATATTTATGCATAATTGAGTTCCTTTGGGAACAATATAATTTCCTTGCAATTGTAAATCTTTTTTTATATTTCTTCCTATTATGGGTATGCTCGGATATACACGTTGTACTTCTTTTAAAACTCTTTCTAAATATTTCATTTCCTGTACGTCGTTATAAGTCGGTTTACGAGTTGATCCATCAAATATATCCATTTGTTCTTTATAAGCCAATTCCTAAAAAAAAATTTTTTTACAATTTAAGGAAAGTATATTTTTAAGTGAGGAAAATGTGTCCGTCTAGTTAATATCATACCTGAACATCTGGATTTTCTGCCAAGCTGTATATTGCAAAACTCAATCCCGAACTGATTGTATCGTGACCCTAAAAATTTATTACAAAATTTATTTTATTCATATTATTTGATGTTGTTTTTAATATTTCTTTTGTTATACCGCAAACATAAAAGTATCCACTTCTTCTCTGATTGCTTTATCCGACAATTGCGATCCTTCTTCGGATGCTAACAACAAATGAAGAAATGCCTTTTTTCTTTTTTCATCTAATATTAAAAAATTTATTTTTATTTAAAATATTATTTAGTTGTCACACACAAAAACAAATAATATAATTACCGAAAGTTTCATCTAAATTATTAATATTATTATTATCATTTTTGTTTTTTTCTTTAAATTTTTCACGGGCATTTTTTATAACTTCATCTGTAGTTCCATGTAAAATTTTTAACGCTTGAGCCTGAACCTTAGATTCTGAACTCAAATTAAAAAGACTGTCAATCATTAGCCAAACTTTAAACATTCTTAAAGAGATGACAGACGTTATACTAAAAAATTAAAAAGAAAATCAATTGTGTAACAAAAAAATGTCGTTTATATTTATTTCATGATAAAATAATTCTTACTCTTGAACAGCTTTTACATATGTATTTTCTGAATTTTCTTGAGCTTTAATATCTACACCCATAGCTGTTTCTGTAATTTATATTTTTATTGTTATCAAAATATACTAAAAAATGTATTCCAATCAAAAAGTTTCTTCTAAATTTTAAACTCACCGCAAATATTATCCAACGCCATTAGTTTAATAAACTTACATATATTCAGTGAACCTTTTCCAGATTTTAACCTTAATTGATGACAAAGTATTTCAGCATTTCGTACGAAAACTTCAAAAAATTCATTTAAAATTTTAAAATGAAACGTTGGAGTGATGATTTTCCTCCGCATTTTCCACTTATTTATATCTAAATATAATATTTAAATTTAAAACCGAAAATCCGTTAATGAAATCGAAACTTGTTATAATTTATATATATACCTGTGGCCGATATTAGACCCTCTCCTATCCAAGGTATAAAAAATTTATACGCTTCATTTTTATGAAGATGTTCATTACTACTCAATATTATCTATAAAAAAAAAAAAAAAAAATGGTTTTTGTTAATGTTAATATTTTTTAAATTTTTAAATTGAGTGACTTATGGGTGATACCTCGGCATCTTTTTCGTCGTTACAGATGACGTAAGCTTTTCCGTTATTCCAAACACGATAAAACCTTCCATATTTTTGCCCGAAATCAACTAATTTTAAAAAAATACCTGTAGAATATATATATTGATTAAATAGTAATAATAATAATAATAACACCTGTTAACTATATAAATTGGTTTACAAAAATAAAAAATCAAAGGCGTACTCACCATGACTGTTGGTTGCGAAATCCAAACTGTTTCCTAAAATTGGTAGAGCAGCAGGACCAGGAAATTTACGTAATGCCTTATAATAATCCCAATTTTTAAAATAATTTACTGCATAAATAGCGATAATAATTATTCCTAAAACCCAAGGATTGATCATTGGTAACAAAAAAAAAAAAAAAAAAAAATCTCAAACTTTTAAAATGATTTATTCTAAAAAAAATTGTGCAAAAATAAAAAACTTGTAGTCTCTGATTTTGATAATAATTGATAATGCCACTTAATAATCGTTGATTATCAATTAATTGATTAAATTAAAATCAAAAAAAATTACAATTTTTTTTTTTTTTTTGATTTTTTATCAGGAAGGAATTTTATACTATTTAAAGATAATAATGATATTTTAATTAAAAAATTTTACCTGTAAAATTACATATATTCAGTTACATTAGTTTCAATGAATATATTTTTCATCTTAATTAATATTTAGCCTATTATACAATAATCATTAAAATTATTTTTAAATTCATTGATATAATCGTTAATTTAAAATAAATAAAACTCTTAATTGGAAAAAAAAAAAAAAAAACGTATTTATACAAAGTTATTTTTTATAACATGATGAGAATTCAAATCAAAGCAAATTTTTTGCTACCGTCAAGTAAACTTAACACATTTGTAACGGTCTTTAAAAAAAATTGTTTGATATGTAAGTTATTTTTGATTTTTATTTTTCAATTTGTAAAATTATTAAACCTTGATATTAGTTTTATTTAATTTGTAATTTACATAATTTTATTTCATTTCCAATAAATAAACTTTATTTTTTTTTCTAATAATTTGAGATTTTTTTAAATTGTGTCTTGTATTGCAGGTATGCTTCGGATAAAGCTGAAATCGTGGAGGAAATTTATCCTGGTAAATGCGGTTTAAAACTTAATTAAATTTTTTTTTTTTGAATTTAAAAAACAAAAATTCGATATGGAAACTTAATTTTCTTTTATATTTAATGTTTTAATTTTATTAATTTATTTTACAGGGCCAACCAAAGAGCATGATGAAAATGTACGGCCCAACTCTGTTAATTGTCCAATGTAAGTATACTATTTTACTTTGTAAAATTTTAAATATTTTTAATTCACATTTGGAAAAACCTATAGAAATATACACATTAATTAAACATTACATATTTATAGGCCAAAGATGTCCATAGCTGATTTTGATATAGGAAAGCCCTTAGGAAAAGGAAAATTTGGAAACGTTTATTTAGCCAGAGAAAAAAATTCCAAATTTATAACTGCATTAAAAGTTTTATTTAAGTCTCAGTTGGAAAAAGCCAAAGTTGTTCATCAACTTAAAAGAGAAGTTGAAATTCAATCACATTTACGCCATCCAAATATTTTAAGATTATATGGATATTTTCACGATGATGCTAGAGTTTATTTAATATTAGAATATGCTCCAAATGGGGAGTTATTTAAGCTATTACAGTCACAACCTGAAAAAAGATTAGATGAAAAAAGGTACTGTATATTTTCAAGTTTTCCCTTTTACTGTCTTATTAATATATTTTAAGCAGTCAAATTCATATTCGATGAAAATTTTTCCGCAGAACTGCGACATTTATTGCTCAAATTGCTGATGCCCTTAATTACTGCCATTCGAAAAAAGTTATTCACAGAGATATAAAAGCAGAAAATTTATTAATTGGAGCAAAAGGTGAAATTAAAATTGCTGATTTCGGTTGGGCAGTTCATTCACCTTTGTCAAGACGTGATACAATTTGTGGCACTCCCGATTATCTTCCTCCTGAAATGATTTGCAATAAAACACATGATCATACAGTAGATATTTGGAGTGTTGGAGTTTTATGTTATGAATGTTTAGTTGGAAAAACTCCATTCGAAAATAATCACATCAAAGAAACTTATAAAAATATAGTTCAGGGAAAATTTTCATTTCCTTGTTTCGTTTCTGAAGGTGCAAGAGATTTAATTTGCAAGGTAAAACATGTTCTTACACATGTAATCTTTTGTATACAATTTAGTTCATGAGTTTTTAAAACTTGTATTTTAAACTTGAGTTTAAATTTTTCTTACTTTTTTTTTTTTTTTTAGATGCTTGTAAGAAATCCAAGTGGACGATTACCATTTGATAAAGTTATTGAGCATCCTTGGGTTTTAGCAAATTCTTCTGCTGTAACTCCATGGTTTTCATCTAGAAGTCATTCATAACAATAAATTAAGACTTTAGTAATTATTATTTTTTTATATATTCATTTTTTCTTTTTTTTAATGAATTTAGAAGGAATTTTATTATGGTAATTTATTAGGGAATTTTTTAGTTTTAGTAAAAACAGTAATATTTTTCAATAATTCAAACATTAAATAATAAGTGAATAAACGTCGTGAGGCACCTAAAAAAATCATATAAAATATGAATTTGTAATATTTTTATTTTTACAATAATATTGTTAATCAAATTATATTTTTTTTTTAATACAAAGTAGAAAATGGAGAATATTTTTGCATTCTTTTTTTTTTTTTAATGACATTAGAAACGTATATTAAACATTTGTCAGAGGGGGGAGGGGGAAAAAACATTTTTTATTAAAAATGTATTTGATTGAAAATAATAATAAAACAACACTCATAACATTCATTTTGTTATTTATTATAACTTTTAACTTTTTTTTTTTATACGATATTTATAAATTTAGTTTCGTAAAATCACAATTATAAATTTAAATTCGTTTTTTTTTTATTTATATAATTAAAAAAAAAAAAAAAAAATTCGATTATAAACGATGTAAAATTTAAAATTAAATAATAATAATAATAATTAAAAAAAATATAAATTTTTTTTTTTTATTTCTTTTTTTGTTTTTTTTTTTTTTTTGTATCATTTTGTAAATTAAATTTAGTAGAAAAATTAAAACATTTCTTCTCTTTAAATGATTATTAAAATTATATATATATATATATGTACACATACATGTAAAAAAAAGAAAAAAATTTAACAACAATTAAAACTAACTACAAAATGCAAAAAAAAAAGAAAAAAAAATGGATAAATGGATTTTTTTCATCAATCTGTATTGTAGCCATCTTTAATTAATGGTGCTGATTTAACACTGTGGCAATAATTGTATAAAGCACGACCAGAATGTACAGACACACTTCGACCGCATGTTTTCAAAGGTTCAGATCTTTGTTTTTCAGGTGAATTTAAATAAAGGAAATCATCGGATTCGGATCCGGGACTCGATGGAGGAACTTCCGGTAAATTTTTCAATGCTTGTAATTCTTCAGCAGTGCTTGGTAAATTGTAAAAGTTTGATTTTACTTCCTTAAAAAAAAAATAATATTTTTAAAAGGTTGTAAATAATAATAATAATAATAATAGTGGGTATGAGTAAAATAATTCACTTACTTTAGTTTTACATAAAAGATTTTCTATCGTTTGTAAAACGTTTATCAATTCTTCTTCTAATTGTGAATCGCAAGAAAATGTAAACCAACCAGGTTCGCATCCCGGAGCTCCTATAAAGTCAAAAAAAATTTTTTTTTTATTAAAATAATGGGGAGGAGTAGAAAAAAAAAAATTTGAAGGGGCATACCTTCCGTATCTTGAACTTTTCCCCACTTGTTAAGAGCTTTTTTAACAGTTTTGTAGAGTTGTATTTGTCCCGGGGAACTCCATTTTTCTATTTGCGTGTCGATAAATTGTTTTTCATCATCGTCGAGTTTATCCCAATTTTGAAAAAGTTCTTTAAGTCGTGTTACTGTAAAGTAACATCGTAAAAATGTCATGAAACTCAACCGAGTTCTACATCCACAAGCAGAAATGGTTTCCTGCCTAGATTAGGAAATTAATTTTTATTTGTAATAATACGATATCATTCTTTTTATTTTTATTTTTTTTTTCTTATTCACGTACGACGGAAAATTCTTTTTTAAATTTTATTATTTTATATTATTATTATTATTATTTTTTTTACGTTAATTTACCTTCTGGAATGAGATTAAAAATAGCTTCACTAATTTTTTCCGCATTTCCTTCTTCCATTTTTTATTAATATTTTTTTATTTATTTATTTTTTTTAAAATAAATTTAATTCAATATGAATCATTTACATTTACGATATACATACATACATAAGTTTTGTATAAATAAATTGTCCATTCAACTGTTTTTTTAAAAATTTATTTCGTTTAAAAATAAGAACGATATGTAATTAAAAAAGTGGCATTCGATATATAACTTTCAAATAAATATTTAAATCGTTTTTTTTTTTTAAATTATCCTTTAAGCAATATTTAATTTATTTAATAATTTTATTTTAAGCCCAAAAAGTGTCATCTTCTACAAATTAACGACCAAAAAAAAAAAAAAAAAAAAATTTTTTAAATTTTTAACACAAAAAAATTATACAAAATTATAAACATGTAAGTCGTACAAGTTGCATAGCATTTATTTTTTCAGGCGTTAAAAAATGAAATTAGAGCATGATAAGGGAGCATGTTACCGTAAGGCTATAAAGTATGTAGGGGGGAAGGGGGGGGAAACAAGAGGAAAAAAAAATTTTAAATCAAATAAAATAATTTCAAATAAATAAATAATACTAATAATATAAAAGTATATTATTACTTTTATAAGGAACATAAAATAATAATAATAAAAAAATAAATAAAACAAATAAACGATGCGACCGTGTATCAAATAGTATAACATAATTTTTTGAAAACGTTTTATTTTTTATTTTTAATAATTATATATATATATTTGACTAGAATTTTTATTAAATGTCTTTTTTTTAATGCTTATACTTCACTTCTCATACACGACATCATTGTCGAATCTTGAGATAATTCATCCATAGACGACGATTGTGAAACCGCTAAAAAAAAAATAATAACGATCATAAATTATACACAATGAAAACAAAACAAAACAAAAAAAAATTGTCTATTGTGTTATTTTTACAAACTACACACTAATCAATTTAAATAATGAAAAATCAGATCGATAAATCAATAGATCGGTATAAGAAAATAATAATAATAGGTACTTACGCCTGGGTACAAAAACAGGTGATTTGGCATTTTGAGGTGATTGAAATGAATATGTTAAATGTAAATTGATATGCCTTCCAAACGTGTTATTATCATCTCTACCTATTGACGCTCCTGAGTGATGCACTGTATACGATCAATTATTAATCGATATTGTTTTTTTTAAATAATAATAATAATTGTATTATAGTATATATACTCACTCGGAGTTTTTAATTTTCCCGTGTGCAAATGTTTTTTCTGTCTAGCTCTAGAATTTTGAAACCAAACTTGAGTTACCCTTTTACTAAGTCCCGTTATTTGTGCTATCCTTTCCAAATCTTGTCCATCCGGATTTGAATCCAATTGAAAATTTGCCTGAAGTACCTGTAATTGTTCTTCGGTAAACGTCGTTCGTACCCTTTTCGCTTTATTCTTATGATAACCTTCCGAATCACCTCCCTCTAAAAATAATTATGTATTAAATCTTTTGCCAAAGAGACATCTTTGTTTCAATCTTATCAATAAATGTTATGTGTGCAAAAAAAAATAATTTTTTTATAAAAATCTCTCAATGATGGCAAAAAAAAAAAAAAAGGAAAATAATGTCGAGCAATAAAAAAAAAAAAGTAAATAAATGAGATTCTTGTTCTCTCATTGAAAAGAAAAATAGGGATGTTGAATGTTCCGATAATAAAGGAAATACTCATGGAAAATTGAAGACTAGACATAAAATTACAGGAAATTTTGTCTTATTGAAATAATTTGCATTGTAGATTGAATATATATATAAGGGTGGAAATCAATTTGAAGCCGATTTCACACCTCGTAAACACAAGGGTGGAAAGGAAAGGAAGGAAAGCTCGAAGCTTACTGAGTTCATTAGCTATTCCTACAACATAAAAAAAAAAAAAAAAAAAAAAAAAAAAATTACAGATGAGGGTGGTCGAAGTATGGATGAAATCCTTTAGGGATCTCATTTCTCAAGGCTCCCCGTTTTTGAAAAGGTTGTTGAAAAAAGAAAAAATGGGTTGGACTTTCCTTTCAGTCAACCTTTTTCCTCCTTTTTTTTTGCGTCCCTCTCCCCCATCCTCTACCCCCATTTTTTCCGTATCGCTCTTTTTCTGCTTAAGCTTTTCCAAAAACGTTTCTCTTTTTTTTATCGTCACTCCTCCTTCTGATGTTTCCTTTCTCTTTCTCTCTCTCTCTCTTTTTTTCCTTTTTTTTTTTAGATTTTGAAACAAACTAAATTTAAAGGGATTTGTTTACATTTCTTATTCGATTTGTTTTTATGGAAGAGTGACCTTTTTTTTTTCCTTTTTCCTTTTTTTTTTTTTTAAATTTTTTTGATTTTGTTTGATTTAACTCGAGGGGTAATTTTCCGAGATGGTAAAAAATTTTTCAAACGTAAAAAAAGAAAAAAAATAAAATATTTACCATCGGATGATGTACTTCCGCCATCTAATATTTCCAATAATGAGTTTTGCAAAGAACTCTATCTTCGTGTAATGCAAATTCTTCTCCAGTGCTTAACTGTCTTTTACAAGAATCGCAAGCAAAACAAGCCAAATGATACACGTGATCTCGAGCTTTTCTAACCCAATCGGATGCTGAAATTCCACGACAGCACTTTGAACATTTGGCGCCGAAACTTCTGTCAGAAAACAATTTTAATCATGTCACAAATCTACATACAAATTATTTAATCTAATCTACGGGAGTGTTACCCCTTATCTCGACCCCCCCAACCCTCAGGACACGTATATTCTGGTATATTTACCAACAGTTTTAAAAAAATTTTTTTTTTATCTAACAGCAACCCTTATGTCACCATAACAAAAATTAAATTCGTTTGTATGCAATGAAAAAAATTTTTTTTTTCAAATAATAATAATAATAATAATGATGATGATGTAAGCGGTGGCGGTGGTGCAAGCAGAAAAAAAAAATGACAAGTATTGATAACCACACAAGAATTCGAATGTGAATAAAAAAAAAAAATGGAAGTATTCTTCCATTTGCATTACGTGGCATATTTGGTGTTTGTATTTGTAAGCCTGGGTCAAGTCTAAACCGATCAGACAGTGACTTATGATCAGAATTGAGGAGTTCTTCTTCTTCTTCATTGTGAACCACTGGGGGCATTGTATTGGATCATGACAGGAGAAGGATTATCAAGTTCCATGCCACACACATTTAAATAAAAATAAAAGTCATGGGTTATATTAGAATAGAATAATACTACTGCCATATACACGCCTAAAAATGATATGTCGATAAATAAATCCACTTCGTCAGGTATATATATATCAGGTTCTTCGTCAACAAGTGCTTTTTCCGTCATAAAAAAATTATTTTGCCATATTTCTCACGAGTTGCGTGAAACCAACGACACTGATTTGACAATTTGTATGTGAGAATAAAAATTCGAATCAATTGTTTTGTCGTCGAGACGATTTTTTTTTTTTGAATGCTACTAATTATCGTCGTAAGTAATTGTAAGAAATATTAATATTATTATCATTTTTCGTGACGGGACCAACGACAAAATGTAAAGTTTTAAAAAAACCGACAGACATTTTTTTTGTCCTTTTCATTAATAACAAACGTTCTGGAATTGTTTTAATCCTTCGAGAATAAAATTAATTTTTTTTTTTTTTGCTAAAAATTATGCTATTTTTCGCATCTGCTTTATATTACAACCGAAAACAGCTGTTGCACTCATATTTTTAACGAAATAAATTTTCCGGATCGATTATGCCAAATAATAAAAATAAATAAAAACAAAACAAATTTTCCGATCGAATTTATATGTAACCTTTTATTTATCATAAGCTAAATAATATAATTAAATATTTGAAAAATCGTAAAGAGGAAAATCTTTATAATTTTTTTAAAGTTCCAGTAAAAACACAATTCTCTTTCCGATTCCTTTCCCACCTCCCCCACACCCCCAAAAAAAAACGAGAAAGAAAAACATGAAATTTTAAAAAAATCCAAACGCTGACTCCATCGGAAAACAAAATGTCGCTGACGTAAAATCTGTCGTCGAATTTTCTCTTCATCCGGTAAAATCCTTTACGTTAGATTTTAATATCCAGGTATTCAAAAAAAAGGTATGGGTGGCGTTCGGCAGGTTCAAAACAAAAAAAAGAAAAAAAATTGACAATTAAGCTATTTTAAAACAAACAATATGTTTGTTTAGGATTAAAATTTTTTTTTTTTTTATGTATATTTAAACATTTTTAAATAGGGCCCACAGACGACGATGACGTCATCGTCGACGTAATTTGCGAACCGATTAAACCTAAAAAAAAAAAAACAAAAAAAAGGGCCGAAATTTCAAAAAAAAACCTGAAATCCCAACCTTAAACTCGTAAATAAATGAATTTATTACGGTTTTGAGTAAAAAAAAAAGGGGGGGGGGAAAAAGCCCCCAACGAAAAACTTTATTTAAAAAAATGATAATGATGATGATAATAATAATAATAATATTTTCTCGTGGCGCTCGCTTGAGATATTATCAAAGAAATAATTATCGACGTTATACGTTATCATAAATTAATTTTATTACTTATAAAATAATTTATGTACGTCTGGTTTCCTCCTCCTCCCCCTCCCCCTACCTTACCCTTCCCCCTTTTAATGACTTTGTTTTACCTTTTGTTACAAATAATAATAATGATAATACTGGTAATAAAACGTTTTCGCATTCGTGAACCCACGTCGTGGTTCCTTTCGGGTTTTCAAACGGTTTCGTTTCCGGTCGAACAATATTAACGATCAAAATTAAATTCGTGCTGTCGGTTCCTGTATAATCGAGACCGACAGCACGAAAGTGACATGGCGTAAATTTATCATTTGTCACTTTCAAACGTTTTCATTAAACGGATAAAAATAATAAAAATCATTTCGGTCATTTTCATATCATTATTTTCAAACCTTCATTGTATTCATATTTTACGTAACGTGTCACGAGAAAAAAGGATAAAAACAATTCGTGACCGTAGACTTGAATGACCCGCGTGAATCGAACGTAATTAATCTTGTATAGCTTCAGGTACGCAATAAGAAAAAGTTTTTTTTTTTTCTACAAAATGGCGACGGTCAATGTGGTAAAAATTAAAAAAAAAAAATTATTAATTTAATATCGTGTAGTATTTTTCTGTGGTTGTTGAAATCATTGTTGCAGATTTTATAACAACCATTTCCGGTTAATTAATTTTTTACTTCCGGTTCTCTTTTTGTTTTTTTAACGACGAATTATAACCGTCGAAGGTTCTAAGGTAGTCGAACGTCTAACCGAAAAATTTCGGACATTTTTTTTTTTTTAAATTTTACTCCTCCATTATTATTATTATTATTATTATTTTATACGCACGTTTTACGCACGAAATACGCGGCGTTAATTAAACCAAAGGGGAAAAAGAAAAAAAAATTTTTTTCGGGGGGTTTTTTTCGAGCTTTTTTTCTTTTCTTGTTCTGGAAAAATTGTGCTGCGTTAGAGGGGGAGGAGGGAGGGAGGGGGATAAAAATGAAACAATGGATTAGAGAAAGGGATAATAAATAAAATACTGATGATTAACAATTGTAAATGAATATTCAAGGGGTCTTTCAAAAAGTTTCTCCCCTTTTTAAAAAAAATTCTTTTACCGTCATAAAATAAAAGAGTTAATTCCGGTTCAGTGATTTTCTTACAATTTAAAGAAATTAATTTTACGGATAATTTGTGTGTATGTGTGTGTGCACCAGGATTTTTAAAGTTTTCCTTTTTTTCCATTTTCTTCTTTCCATTTCCTTTTCTTTTTTTTTTAACATCATTATTATCATCATCATAATAAAATATTTAGGGCGATATTTTTAACGATTCTGACCCTGAATTTTGTTTTTTTTTTATTAAAATTAATTTTTAGTGATTGTAAAAAAAATTACGTTACGTACACAAACATATTATTATCATATCATTATTATTATTATTATTATTATTATTATTATTATTATTATTATTATTATTATTATTATTATTATTATTATTATTATTATTATTATTTCGGTTAACAATTTCCATCGGAAAATTGTATATTCTCTGGACTATTAAGCCGCATCACTTTAAATTTCCAGAATTTTATACGATGGTTGAATGTTTTGAAAACGTTGAATGACGTGTTAGGGAATGTGTTGAGAGTAAATAATAATAATAATAATGATAATGATAATAATTACTCACTTTGCATAATCCGCTTTGCAATAAACGGCATCTTGCCTTATAAAACAAGATGGATGACGATCCAATGCCAGTTGACAAACACTACATCTTAAGCAATGAGAATGCCAGCTTCTTCCATTTACTTGTAGAAGGTATTTGTCGGTTATGGCATCACCACAAGCAACGCAAATGCTATGCTCCGTCTACAAAAAAAAAAAAATTTCGATTTTTCCATAATAATAATAATAATAATAATTTATTTAGTTTTTTGCTTCGTAGGGCAAACAAATCCATGGATCAAAAAAAAAGAGAAGGATTTTATTTTATCGTTTTTATGATGATTGATCGATTGGTTTTTTTTATGTACGCACGCACGCACGCACGCACACACGCATATATATATATAAATATTATGTATGTTATGTACGTTAGATTAGATGTACGTAAAAAAAAAAAAAATTGAAAATATAATTTTAAATGCAATTAATTTAAAAAAAAAAAAATTCGAATTGTTTTGAGTGGCACGCGGTCAATAATAATTAACACCATCGTGGGGAGTCGAATTTTTTTCTTAATCTTTTTTTTCTCTCTCTCTCTCTCGCTCTCTCTTCCAGACCCCCACCACCACCGCCATCTTTACTCCATCTGAAAAAAATTTTATTTATTATTATTATTATTTATTAAATAATTTTATAACCTTTTTTTTTTCTTTTAATTCAAATAAATAAGTTTTTTTTTTGGCGAGTTTTCATCGATGATTGTTTTCCCGTTTTCCACATAATAAAGAGAGAGAGAGAGAGAGAGAAAGAGATAGAGGGAGAGAGAGTGAGAGAGAGAGAGTGAGAGGGAGAGATAGAGGGAAAGAGATAAAGAGAAAGATAGAGAGAGAGAGATGAAGAAATAAAAAAGAAGAAAAATAATGTTAAGATTAGATCATCAAAGAAATTTATTTACATAAAATAAAGACATTGAATTTTTTTTTTTTTTAAATCATTTTAATAATAATAATAATAATGATAATAATAATAATAATTTATTGGAATGCCTTTCGAGTTTTTCCATTAAAAAAAAAAAAAAATTAATATATTTATTATTTATTAACACGTTTGTACCTTTTTTTTTTTCTTCTGCCTTTTCCCTTTTTCTTTCTTTCTTTTTTTTCTATCTTTTTCCTCCAACAAATATTCCATTGTAATAATAATAATAATAATAATAACTTTGGAATTTGTTACTAACGTATGTTTAATAAATCACAAAATTGCTGTGAATTTGAGAAACAAATCGTGTACTATTATTACCCCCATAATAAAAATTTGAAAAGATAACACAATAAAAGGTTTTTTTTGGTGAGCCTTCAATTGGATGGGGCTCAAAATCAGTTGTTCAAATTGTTATTAATGTACTCCGAGAGGTTTTGTCATTCTTTAACCTCCTCTCTCTCTCTCTCTCTCTCTCTTTTTCTATATTTGCGGTTTTTTTTACGGTCCATTGACTTTTGACTTTATTTTATTCACTTTAAAAAAAAAAAAATCAAAAGGAAAAAAGTGTTTGTCTGTATTCCTCGAATGGAAGTCAATAATTTTTCAATAGGAAAACGAATACAACAAACAACAACAACAACAACAACAAATTTTCATCATCACCTGGTTGTTACCGATATCTGATTTAAAAAAATTTTTTTTTTTTATAAAAGAGTAAAAACGAAACGATTATTTTATTTTTTTTTTCACCTTTTGTTTGTGCCCAAAAAAATGTCTTCTGCTGGTTGTCTTTGGGTTTAAAAAAAAATTGATTTAAACAAACGTGAAACATTTAAAATTTTTTTATAGAACTATAATTAAATAGCGATCTTATTAAATGACCTTTAATAAAAAAAAAAAAAAAGTAAATATAGATAGTCATAGTCGTCGATAAGCATGATTGATGAAGGATGTTTTGCAAAATGTTATGTGTGTCCTTTAGTTGGCGTTTTCTGCCACATTTTTATTACTTTTCGCTTCTTTTACAATCGCATGCCGCCGGTCTCTCTATTAATTTTTTCACTTTACTACATAAAATTACAACGAGAGTAATAAAATTTTTATTACTCGTTTTTTTTTTTTTCTTTTTCCATTCTCATTCTGTGGTGCAACACACACACACACACACACACACACACACGTATATAAAATTCTTGTTTTCCTTTTCCATTTTTTTTTTTCTATTTAAAATTTTTTCTCTCTCTCTCTCACTCTCTCTCTTTGCATGATCTATAAAAATGATTACGTAATCGTTTATATAAATAATAATGATAATGATAATAATAATTATTCGTTAATTTATTAATTAATTTCTATCTTTCACTCTTTCTCTCTTCATTTTTTTTTCTTTTGTTTTTAATTAATTTTTTTCTCTCTATCGAATATATTTATTATTATTATCATTATTTGAAAAATTTAAAATTCCATGAGAAAAACGTAGAGAAAAAGAAATATCGTGATGAATGCGTCAGAAAGAATAATTAGCTAATTTTGACTTGGAGTCATTCACATCAATTTTTTTCAACTGGCCATCTCTGTCAGATATTTTTTTTTTTTTTGATATGAAAACTCCTGCTGAGGTCTGGAGCCCCCCGAGGGATTTTTTTAATAACATAAATTCACCTCTTTCACTCTCTCTCTCTCTCTCTCTCTCTCTCACTCTCTTATCCAGTATTTATCCATTGTTTTTATCCAGACAATTTTTTTTAAATATTTTTTTTAATTAAATGTTTGATCGAATAAATTTTTTTTTTTTGCTAGCAGAAGAAAAAATGAATAATTGCTAATAGGTTATCATCATCATCATCATCATTATCATTATCATTGTTTTTATTAAGAAAATAAAAATATATGAAGTAATTTACGGGGGGAAAAAAATACCGTTAAGAATAATAATAATAATAATAATAATAATAATAAATTTTCAATTAAATGAAAAAATTTTCCCTCTCTATTCCTCTCTCACTCTCTCTCTCTCTCATTCTCTCTCTCTCTTTTTCTTTCTCTCTTCTATTCGTAAAAAGTTATGAAATTATTATATTTTTTTTATAAATTTATCGTAACTAATTTCATTCCAAGCTTAAAATTAAAAAAAAAAAAATTTTAAAGTAAGATGAGAACAAAAAGGATAGAGAAACACTTTTTCACTTCGTTTGTTGTTGTTGTTGTTGTTGTTATGTTTTAATATTAATTAACATAATTTATATGCGCTGAGCACTTGTATCGCAAATACTGCATACAAAATCAAACGAGAAAAAAAAAGAGAGAGAGAGAGATACACACAGGTACACGTATAAAATAATTTTTTTTGTTTTAATTTAAAAAAAAATAAAAAAATTTGCATTTCGAACAATTATTATTATTATTATTATTATTATTATTATTACTATTTTTTTTCCTTCACAAATGTTTGTTTTTTTTTGTACAAAAATTAAAAAAAAAATCATTATTATTATTATTACGACAAAAAGGTTAAAAAAAAAAAAAAAAAATTTTTAACCTTGTTCAAACTCTTTGTTTCGATTTAAAAAAAAAAATTATTATGTTAATCTTTTGTTTAAAGGCGCCATTTTTTTTTCTTATATTTTTTCAAACGGAAAAATCCGCCATTTTCTTTTTTTTTTAAATACAAAATTAAATGCGATAGAATTTACTCGAATTATTATTATTATTATTTATTTACACGAACGACGAATCGAAAACAATTTTTTTTTTTTTAAATTAAAACAAACAACAAACGAATAAACGTATTGTTTTTTTTAATAATAATTTTCGGCTTGGGAAAAAAATAGTAAAAAATTCTTTTTCTAAATAATAATAATAATGATAATAATGATAATAAAGAACGTTACAGTTTTTTTTTTTTTTAAGCATAACATATGTTAGATGCATAAAGTTATGAACAAAACCATCTGAGAACAAACTACAACAAACAATTGTTTTTTTTTTTTCTCACTACAATGTAACCTAAATTTATTGATATTTCGAATAACTTTTATCATTATTATTATTATCACTATACACGTCAATGTCTAATTATAATATTATTATTATTATTATTAAAGAACCACTCGACGACAAAATCTTATTATTATTAATATTCTCAATAATATAAAAGTTTTTTTTTTTTTTTATTAAAAATAAACCTTTTTTTTTTCTCTTAATGCCCACGATGTTCATTATTATTATTATTATTATTTTGACTCCCTCATCCCCCATCCTCCCACTTTATTTCTTTCCTCCCTTTGTTGTTGTTGTTTTTATTATTTTTTTTTTCGGCACATTTTCAGAATGATTCTGCATCTTAAAGGGGTATAAAATATAAAAAAAATATATATATACATCTTTTATCATTTTAAATGTAATAATAATAATAATAATAATAATAATAATAATAATAATAATAATAATAATAATAATAATAATAATAATGATAATAAGAAAAGGAAGAAGAAAAGAAGAAAAACCTGCGAGGGTTGAAAAGAAGAAGAAAAAAAAGGTGTTTGTGTGAAGAAGTTGAATATTGTTCGACGACACCATTTATCATATGCGTGGGAGGGAGGTTGTCAGAGTTACCTCATATTTTTTTATATCGCGCCAACAATATTATTATTATTATTATTACACATCATACATAAATCGAAATTTTAAGTGTTTAAATTCATCATCATCATCATCATCATCATATTCGCCGGAAGAATTTTTTTATTCACCCCCCCCCCCGCCTTCTTCCCTTCTTCTTATTGTCATCGATTGATAAATAGTATATACTCACGTGTGACAACAACAAATTTTTTTTTAAAAAAAAAAATTCAGGTTCGCATTTGAAATTTTTTTTAATATAATGTTTCACAATAGATGATTCTTCGTTCGTCTTTTTTAAAGGGGTCATAATAGATATATATATAATTCTTTTGTGTGGGGGGCCACTTTAAAAATTGTAATCTTTAATAATAAGAGTAGTGACAAAGTTTAAATCTACTCAATTTTTTTTTTGATAAAGGGATTTTAAAAAATTAAATTAAAAACAAACAAACAAACAAAACTAGGATCAAGCTAGTTGGGGGGCGGAAGCGGGGGCGGGGAGCAAAATTGCTATACCATTTTTAAAAAAAAACATGGAAAATTTTTATTTGTTTTTTTTAAATTTTTTATCGTCCCCCCTTTTTTTTTTATTTCAGGAAACGTGCGTACGAACTTACCTACGATTTGTAGACCTGAACTAATAAAAATAATAATAATAATAAATCATTTAACATTAAGGATTTGATAAAGAATAATAATAATAATAATAAGTAAATAAAAATCATTATCCCGTGAAAATTATAATAATAAACATACATTTTTTTAAATATTTTTACGCCACGTAATAAAAC